AAATATCCTTACAAAAGTTTGTTAATCCTGTTGCCACCAGAAAATTTCCGCTGCGCTTCGAGAAGCACTTAAATCAACTATTAATGATTTCATATCAGAGAATATTTAATTATTAATCACATTTTCTCGTTTTTTTATTAGTAAGCGAATAAAAATTTAATGTAATCATATACAGTACTCTGAACTTTATATTGTTTATGGGCACGCATTTGCTTTATAATTTTGTCCGCGGTCGATGGCGTTGTGTCCATATGATTTATTAATCTATCAAGCTTTTTGTGTTTGCGAAAAACTAATTGAATTTGTTGAAACTCGATATTATTTTTTGGTTGTGTTAATTTTAAATATTATTTATTTATTAATTTTGCCCAAGGACATTCATTTTAATTGCGTTAATGTGTTATTTAATATTTTGACTTTTTGTCGCTAGTCGCCACAATATTAGGTTGTTGTAAATGACCATTTACTAATTAGATTAGAAATAATTTGGAACACATTAACTTCTTTGTAGTTTTTCAAACTGAACTTGATAGTTGTGTGTTTTTGGGATCGCCTGGTTATCATTCTGTAAATCAGCACGATTTCTTATTTGGAAAATAGAATATTTTAAATTGCATTTCTGTGATAGTTTATTATTATTTGAAAATGTTAAAACAGTTTTGAGTTGACAATTCCTTTTAGTATATATGCTCGAAGTTCAAAGCATAATCAAAATTAGTCATTAGGTAATTAAGGATTCTTTTTTAGATTCTTGCAAATATAATAGCAAAATATTTTATTAACTTACCGTAGGGTAAGTTATTGAAATCATCCAAAAATCAAAATTGAAAATTTTGACATTTCTTCACGTTTTCAAGGTTTCTGAACATTTTGGCATACCTCAGAAAAAATTGATGTGTGTGTGTATGTATGTATTGATACAATTTTTGTCCACATTTTCGGACGCACAGATCAACCGATTTGAATGGTTCACAAAACATTCCATTCCTATTGATAGGGAGATGTGCTGATTAGTTTTTGTGAAAAGCAAGTCCAGCCGTTTCGGAACACGGAGCAAAAAGTGCAGAAAATAGAAATGGGGTTTTTAAGAGAACGGAGCATCCGATTTGAATGATCTAAAAAACATTCAATTTGAAATGATTGGGAGACGAGGTAATGAGTTTTAGGCAGAGGCAGGTCCTACCATTTTGAAGACACAGAGCTAAATGTACAAAAAAAGTGCAGTTTTTGAGAGAACAAAGCATCCGATTTGAATGGTTCAAAGAACTTTCTTCTTGTTATGACAAAATAATTGCTTGTGGAAAAAAAATTGTTTCAAGATTTTTTTTTCAATATTTTTCAGAATTTTTTTTTGTATATCAAAAATAATTCAGATTTTAATTTTAATTCTGGCTCAAGTTCTAAAGCTCATTTATATACTTTAAATAAATAATGTTAACTTCCAAATTCAGTTTATATAATTCCTATAAATATTGGACAATGATACAGTATTTATAATAATATTATATTTGTAAACATTTAATATTTCACGAATATTTTGTTACGGTACGGAAAGTTCCAGCAATTTGCCTTAAGACACGATGCCATACACCACTAGTTTATTGTATTTATTTGTAATCAATGAGATTATTTGCGGTTAAAATAATTTTAAAAATGTTTATAGTTGTATCCGTAAAAATAGTACTGATTACTACTCGTAAGAATAGTAACAAGAATATATATGTAAACAATTTTTCAATATTTGACCATTACTATATGAGTTTCTTTTATTAAAAATTACAATAAATTCACTTTATATCAATTTAAAATTTCTATTACCTTATGTTTTATTTTTTGCATATTTTTCAAATCTATATAAGTATTTTGATCTGATAATTTCAATTACATATTATAAAAATTGATTTAGTTAGTATGCATTTGCAATCCAATCTGAATTCAGTTGAATAGTGTCATGCAAACCCGTATTTACTTCCTGACTGGCCGGTCACACATTCGTCGTCTACTTGCCAACTGGAATGAAATGCATTTTAAACTTCTATGTCGTGTAAATAAGTCGACATTTCCTAGTCTAGACAAACATTCTTTGAAGTGACTTTAAGCTGCAACATACACGCAAGCATGCATTAAATTCGCGCCATGCGCTTTCGAGTTTCCGATACAAAAGAAATGTGAGAAAAAGTTGGACTTAGACGGCTAAACCGTACGAAAATATCGAGACATAGCTATGAAATGTGTCAGTTCATTCAACGATTTTCTTAACCCCTTAACTTACAATTTAGATTCGAAGATGTTGGGTCAAAGTTGTACTAGCAGGCGCAGCGTTTCTGACTGTTTTTCCACATAGTATACAGATTTTCAAAAAAATTAAAATAATTTTCTGTTTTATAGTTTCGTATAAATAACTATTTTGTGATACTTGCGATTGCCGTACTGGGCTATGTCCGTAATGCGTAATATTAACTTCCCGTAGGGTAAGTTATTGTAATCGTCCAAAAATCGAAATCGAAAATTTTTACATCTCTCGACGTTTTGAAGGTTTCTGAACATTTTGGCATACTTCAGAAAAAATGTATGTGTGTGTATGTGTGTGTATGTATGGATACAATTTTTGTCCACGTTTTCGGGCGCAGGGATCAACCGATTTGAATGGTTCAAAAAACATTCGATCCCTATTGATAGGGAGATGTGCTGATTAGTTTTTGGCAAAGGCAGGTCGAGCAGTTTCGGAGATACGGAGCAAAGAGTGCAGAAAACAGAAATCGAGTTTTTGAGAAATCGGAGCGTCCGATTTGAATAATCCAAAAAACATTCAATTCGTAATGACGGGGAGAAGGGGTTGTTAGTTTTTGACAAAGGCAGGTCTAGCGGTTTCGGAGGTACAGAGCTAAATGTACAAAAATGGCCGTTTTTGAGAGAACTAAGGGTCGAATTTGAATGATTCAAAGAACTATCTGCTTATTTTAACAAAATAATTGATTTTGAAAAAAAATTATGTTCCATTTTTTTTTTTTACTTTTTTTTGTGTATCGAAAATACTTCAGATTTTATTTTTAATTCTGACCAAAGTTCTAATACACTCTAAACAAATAATTTCAACTTTGCAATTCAGTTTATATAATTCTTATAAATATTAGGCAATGTTACAATATTATTTTATAATAATCTATTTGAAAACATTCAATATTCCTCGAATATTTCGTCACGGTACGGGAAGTTCCAGCAATTTTCCTTAAGGCACGATGCCATACACCCCACTAGTTTGCTTTTAGACCGATTATAATACGCGGGCTATGCCCGTAATATTCACGTTTGGCCTAGAAATCGCACGCAGACTCGTCATTTTAAGTAAAGTTAAATATTGATTTGTATGTAAATTTTTGAAATATATTTTTTTAACTTCGCGAAGGAGTAGTTCATGTTTTCATAAAAAAAAAACAATTCGCTAATTTTATGTCTTCTCGACGTTTCAAGCCATTCTGAATCGAATGAGACCAAATTTGCAAAAAGTATGTGTATGTGTATGTGAACAAATTTTTTGCCGTAAATTGACGTTTACTCAAAAACGGCTGGACCGATTTCACAAATTTAAAAGCCATTCGATGTACCTCGTTGAGGACTAGAGTTTATCAAATTTTTCCGACGATCAGCCGAGCCGTTTCATTGTAAATCGCAAAAACGTGAAAAAAATTCCGTCCACGTTTCAGCCCGCAATTTTGAATCGATTTTGAAAATTCAAAAACTGTTCGAAAGATATTGGCTGGGATCTTGGGAATCGTGCCGATTAGTTTGTGGTAAAGATCGGCCGGACCGTTTTCTTGTAATAAAGTGTTAAAATTTTTTTCCAACGATTTTTATGATTTTTTTTACCATAGTCTTATAGATCATACTAAAATATTACGGCCCTACGACAAGTCGTTTAATTTTAAAAATTCTTCAAAGTTTGCAAAAATTAATATCGTTTTTTGGCATTAGACCTTTCATCGACATTTTCAAAAACGCCTGAACCGATTTCAGAAATTTCTAAACCATTTGAATCTCGATGAGGATTATTGTTTCTCAGTGTTATGCGACGATCCGCCGAGCTGTTTCTTTGTAATTTGGAAAAAAGTGTTAAACTTTTCGCCCACATTTAAGCTCGTACTACCGAATCGATTTTAAAAAATCACAAACTGTTCGAAAGATATTAGTTAGGAATGATACTACTGATTAGTTTTAGGTGAAAATCTACCGAGCCGTTTTCTTGTAATTAACTGTTGAAAATTAAAATTAAGCCGATTTTTATGGATTTTTTTCAGCGATATATATCATGGTCTTATAGAACTTACTGTAATATTACGGCCTTACAACAAGTAGTTTAATTTTAAAAATTCATCAAAATTTGAGGAAATGAGTAGTTTTTTTTGACGTTTGTTAAAATGAAAATAAGACGATTTACTTGGTATAACGATAGATTACTTGGTTTTATTGAATATACTAAATCGTTAAGGTCGTACGGAAACTGACTCAAATATACAAATTATTGATTTGTGAAAATTGCTTTTAGAAAATACTCCGAGTTAACGTGTTCGTTCGTTTTCAGTTATGTGTAATAAGTCCACTCGGAATACTTTTAATCACTCTTAAATTAATTTATTCGTCATGGATTAAGTCGATTATTTACACGATCGGAAAGTTTATGTAACTTGCCTCAAGGGAAAATACCAATACCAACTAGTTATTCATTTATTTAAATATTTCTTATTATTGTTTATAATAATGTAATTTATTTGAAAACATTCAATATTTCTCGAACTTTTAATTTCGGTGCGGGAAGTTTGCTTTAAGGCACGATGCCATACACTACTAGTTGTGACATATGATGTAGTTGGATTGGTAGTCAATTAGGACCTTCATGCACCGCCCTACTCTGCTGTATATTACTTCATTTGAAATTAAACATGATTAGTGATGTGTGCAATTATTGATACTAATAATAATGTGTCTCCTTCGTTCTATTCCAGTGCGACCTATGAGCGTCAAACTGCTCGGAACGCCCGGGCAATTCATCGCCGGCGAGAAGTACAGTGTGGCTTGCGAAGTGCTCGGTTCGCGACCTCAGGCACAAGTCACATGGACCCGTGGCGAACGAAAGTTCCGCAAAGGCAAACCCGGACTCGAAAAGGTGAGCCCAGTTAATGTTTACTACTAACTCTCTTAGTGTACTTTATGTGATTAACAAGTTTATGTTGCCGTTTTACATATTTAGTGTGACACTGTCCTAAATCCACAACTTATTAGCAGTTTTGTGTGACTAAAAAGGAGTTTTGATAAAACAATTAAATTGAAACAAATTAATTTTGATTATGAATCAGTTGCTCATGTTATTTTTTATATATAGTCAAAATCACATAGTGTGGCAATAACTTGCCAATGTCTTTTTTTTAACTTCCCGTAGGGCAAGTTATAGTAATTGGAAAAAATCGAAAATGAAAATGTTCACATATTTTTACGTTTACATCCCTGTGGGTTCCGTACCAAGGTATATCTGTTAGACGGCGACGTGACGCTTACGCGCTTCGATATTTCGTCTCTATGCAGTTAAAGCAGTACGATTGCTTTGAAAAAAAAAATTCATATCTTCCAAAATATTTCAAAGTATGAAAAACATTTTTTTCAAAGTCTTTTTTCCCAAAAAATAATTTTTTAAAAAAATTACAGTTTCTCAAAAATCTATTTTTTTTTTAACTTCCCGTAGGGTAAGTTATTGTAATGGGCCGAAAATCGGAATTGAAAATTTTTACATTTCTCGACGTTTTGAAGGTTCCTGAACATTTTGGCATACCTCAGAAAAAATGGATGTGTGTGTGTGTGTGAGTGTGTATGTATGTATGGATACAATTTTTCGTCCACGTTTTCGTGCGCACGGATCAACCGATTTGAAAGGTTCAAAAAACATTCGATTCCTATTGATAGGGAGATGTGCTGATTAGTTTTTGGCAAAGGCAGGTCCAGCCGTTTCGGAGATATGGAGCAAAGAGTGCAGAAAATAGAAATTGAGTTTTGAGAGATCGGAGCATCCGATTTGAATGATTCAAAAAACATTCAATTCGTATTGACGGGGAAAAGGGATTAGTCTTTGGCAAAGGCAGGTCCAAAGGTTTCGGAGATACAGAGCTAAATGTGCAGAAAATGACAGTTTTTGAGAGAACTAAGCGTCCGATTCAGATGATTCGAAATAACTTTCTGCTTGTTTTAACAAAATAATTGTTTTTGAAACTAGCTGTAAGTGGAATTCTGTCTTAAGGCAATTAAGGCATCGTGCCTTAAGGCAAATTGCTGGAACTTCCCGTACCAAAAATTATTAATTTTTCAAAAACGATTAACATTTTTGAAAAAAATGTACTTTGAAAAAATAAGATTTTTGAGAAACTATATATATGGACAAAAAATTACTTTTTTTGAAAATAAAATTTTTTTTTAATTTTTTTTTTGAAAAAATTTTTTTTTCTTTGACATATTGTGGAAGATCTGAACTTTTTTTTTCAAAGCAATCGTACTGATTTAACTGCATAGGGACAAAATATAAAGCGCGTAAGCGCCGCGTCGCTGTCTAACGCATAAGCATTGGTACGGAACCCATAGGAATGGTAACAAAATGTATACTTATTGTTAAAATCTCTATAAAATATCTGATAACTTGATGTGCATATGTCTAATGATCATTTTTGACCGCCAAATGGCTCATTTTTTTACTTTTTCCTCCATATCTCCGAAACCGCTAGACCTACCTTTATGAAAATTTTATCGATTCTTCATCTTGTCAATACAAGTAAAATGTTTTTTGAATTATTTAAATCGGACGCTCCGTTCTCTTAAAAACTGAGTTACCGTTTTTGGCACTTTTTTCCCCGTATCTTTGGAACGGCTAGACCTGCCTTCGCCAAAAACTAATCAGCACGTCTCCTTATCAATACGAATCGAATGTTTTTTGAATTATTGAAATCGGTTGATCCGTGTTCCCGAAATCGTCGACGAAAATTTGTATCCGCACATACATACACACACGTACATACATACACACACACATACACACACACATACACACACACACACACACACACACATCCATTTTTTCTAAGGTATGCCAAAATGTTCAGAAACCTTTGAAACGTAAAGATATATAAAAATTTTCATTTTCGATTTTTTTGCGATTACTATAACTTGCCCTACGGGAAGTTAAAAAAAATTTTGTTCCAATTTTTTTTTTTTTTTTAATTTTTTGTATATCGAAAATAATTCAGATTTTACTTTTAATTCTGACTAAAGTTCTAATATACTTTAAACAAATAATTCAAACTTCGCAATTCAGTTTATATAATTCTTATAAATATTAAACTATGTTACAGTATTTATTTATAATAACCTATTTAAAAGCATTTAATATTCCTCGAACATTTCGTTACGGTACGGGAAGTTCCAGCAATTTGCCTTAAGGCACGATGCCACCCACCCCACTAGTTCAAAGTAATTTTTGTTCAAAAATGTTAATCTTTTTTAAAAAAATAATTTTTGGTACGGGAAGTTTCAGCAATTTGCCTTAAAGCACGATGCCATGCGCCCCACTAGTTTATTCAATCAGAACATTGAATACAATATATTAGTTATTTTGATTTACATTATTTAAATATGATTATAAATTTTAGTTGCCCCAGTGGGTAATTACTATTAGATAAAATTTATTTTATTAAATTAATAGGCCATAATTTTTTAGATCTTCTTAATTCTGGTGTGAGTAACCAGTAAATTGGGGTGATTTAATTTACAACCAGATGGGACTTATTATCATCTTTTTTTTTTAATTTTAAGGAGTATTACAACTGTATTATCATTTTTAAACAAAGACTGTATTTTCTAGTGTTAATTTTGAATTATGTCCGAGAAGCCAACTAATCATGATTTTTATTCATATATACCAAGGTGTTTAATATAATTTTATTACTTGGTCAAGAAAATTCACTCTTGGGCATATTGTCTAATCGAGCGTAAATGTTATATGGTTAGACTTGCTCTCATTGATTTTGATCCGACACTTTTTAGCCCAGTTTTTGGTCACATTTAGATGCCTTCGCACAATAGTCGATTGCCAATATTTGATAACAAAAAAAAAATAGTAAGAATTTAATTCTTTTAGGATTTTTGGAATCACTATTCTATAGAATATGTTTATCATCACAGTTACCGAATAATTTCTTTTAAAAAAAATAATGATGAATATTATCTCAAATGAAATGAAAAATCAACGTCTTATTCTGATATTTATGATTTTCATATAGGTCTGGTGATATTGCCCAACGATATCTACTAAAACCTAATTAGCTTTTTCTCAGAGATAGAGTTGATGGACAAATCAAACACCTTAACATATTAGATTCCGAAGAGAAGCGATTTAATTATAAGAATTATTTAAGTTTTAAAAAGTCGTCCGGTTTGACTATGAACTCTATCGCCATGAGAAGTCTCATCAAAATCCCAGAAAAGTAAACCTGAGTAACAATATTTTATTTTTGAAATATGCCTTTCAGTAAATTTTACATTTAAAACTGTATAGTGCTTTCTCGTCTAATTTTGATCGGTGATTAACAAATATATGTAGGAAAATTTCATTTATAAATCTATATTTATATACTCAGGAGAATACATTTTTTTATTACTTCAAATAGTTATCAATTTATATTAGCAAATTATTATGTTATTTACTTGAAATTGTATAGTAATATCGACGAATAAAACAGCATCTAAAGATCGCTAATTGTGATAAAGTTATTCCAAATATTTGAAATTAACATACTCTACTATTTTAACAATTTGTATGATGGAATTGATATCCATATGTATCATCACAGTATTACTATTTGTCTAAATGTAGGAAAATTTTCAGTATTTCTAACTTACGTAGTAATTTAATGGACAAATATAACAAAACAAAAAATATATGCAATATAGAAATATTCAAGTACTTATTATGGAATGAAATATTTAATATTTGTTTTATGGTGCACTCTATTTAATATTAGTTCACTCTGGCGAGCTGTTTATGCGAAAAGTATTTAATGGAAAAATTAAATGTTTATTGGAATATCGTGATGGAAACTTTTCATTGGTAATGCACGTAAACAACCGACATGGATAATAAATAATGAATCAGATTCACTGAAGTGTACGTAATATGTCTAGTGACTTTCAAACAATTTTGTATCAAGAGCTGTTTTAACATCTGTAAATGTATTTTGACAATGGGATTTGGTAAATTATAATATTTTACGTAGTTTTAAATTAAACATAATTGGATTTCTGATACGTTTGTGACTTCAGAATTTTTTTTGTAACTTCAGAAATTTTTCTGTTAACATTACTTTGATAAAAATTTTATAGAAATAGATTTTCAAATGATATGATTCAAAATGACACAAATGCATAGGAATCGCCTAAGGGATTATAATAAAATAGGATAATTCGGGGCACAAAAGTCCAATATGTCTTTTAGTAATTATACTGTAAAAACAAAATAAACTTAGTCAGCACATAACATGTATCAAACGAACAGCTATCGTACTATGTTTTGAATAATTCCCAGTTAACTCTTTATTATAGAAATATATTTATCAGTGTTTTTTTAAACACTTAAAATGGGTGAGGTAAAAAAGCACAGCTAGGGGTCAAACGTGTCCAAAGTTCTTCTTTTTTAAGAGGATATTACAAAATATTAGTTAATTTGACTTTATAATTATATTTGACGTTGTATTTAATATTTTATTTATCAAAGTGGATGCATTGGATGCACACTCGACGATTAATTTTAACTAACTCATTCAAATATTACGTTTACCGAAAAGGTATAGATATATTATACGCTTTTATATTTATAGATTGGAATGAAATGAAAGTAGCAAATTTTCAAAATATATCATCTCTCCTAAAGTTTCAAACAAAAATGTGCTTTTACATAGTCTATTTGCAACTCAGAAACTATATAAATCTTACATTATGTTGTTATTCTAGGACATAATAGCGTTTGTGTATACCGAGGACTTATACATCCATCAAACTTTACTTTAAATGGAACTATTATGAGAAGAAAATAATAAAATCGCATTCCACGTAAAAGTTTCTATCAAAAACAAC